TTGTTTATTTTGGGGATATTACTTCAAGCAGATGTCCTGAGCTCTTTCTAAAAGCATGCTCAGCCATTTCTTCCCTGGGTTTAAAAGATGCTTGGGACATCTCTACTTTTTATCACAGCCAAGCTTCTTAGAGTGGGGCGTTATCTTTTATTAGATCAGTTAACAGAGGCTGGATGAGAGGACAGGCTTTAGGCAGTTTGCCCTCAAGGCTGGGAGTTGGTTTTAATAACTGGAGAGAGGGATTACTGCTTCTTACTATGAGATTGTGGAGAAGGAAGGAGTGTCTAGAGCTCCTTTTTGGTAACGGTTGAGCTTCTGAACAGTCTAGGAGAAAAAATCTGTTGTAGATAGTGGGGTGAAGGTTTTTGTTGGCTGCTTCTGCCCGGAGCTGTGCTGCCTGGGGAGGCTGGCCAGCAGCACCAGCAGGGACACCAAGCACAGCCTCCTTGGGAGCACACAGGAGCAGAGATCCCATCCTCAGTCAGGTTCTCAGTACAAACACAGGCTTCACTGCTCAGGGCTCTGCTGGTGCCCAGCGTCGCTTTTAGGAGAGTGCTTAGTTGGCCTCCATCAGCAGGAGAATTGTCAGCGTTAGCAGGAATTACACTCCTCTCTCAGGGGGCTGTGCTGGGCTCTGCTGCCCTCCCTCCCGCCCCTGTGCTGCAGCCTGAGGTGGGGTTGTAGCTCAGGAAGGGGAGGCAGGAGCCCCAAGGGGGCTGCCCAGCTGTCCAGCTCCACCACGGCCAGTTCCAGTGCCTGCCCAGCCTCTGCCTTGCCTGGCCTGCCTGTTCCACGTGGGGTGGCAGGGGTAAAGCTGTGATGATTTGAGTCAGCCATGATCTGGGAAGGGTTTTAATTTCTTTGTTTTTTCTGTTCTGTTTTTCTTTTCCTTGAAGGTCTCCAAGTTGCCAAATCTCCGCTCCCTGAGTCAGCTGCTCCTCCTTGACATCATAGAGTCCTTAGCTAACCACATATCAGACAAGCAGTGTGCAGAGCTGGGCTCAGACATATGACATGCTTTGGTAATCCAGTTTTTCTTTTGTTCCTCAAAAAACCTAGCATTTTACAGCTGACTTTCTTGTTTACTATTCCATGCTGAGCTGCTCAGAGCCTGCTCCATAGAGAGGCAGCCCAGAGAAGTGTGGACATGCCTTGCTCTCCTGTGGGTTTCTTTGGTTTGGACCTTTGTGGAGAAGGGTTTGGTCTCTGTTACACAAATGTAAAATCAAAGCTGTTGCAGGAGTTAATTTATTCTACGTGGTTTTGGGAGTAACTAAGTTCAGCATCTAGCCCATTTTTACTTTTATACTGTAAAATAAAGCAGCAATGTCAGTGAGTCATTAATACTTTGAAACACAAGATTTAAAGAATACTATTTAAAGAACTTCAGCTGACACAGCCAGGGGCAGTAAGGAGAAGTCAGATGTAACGAAACTGGAAACAGAGAGGGTGGTGTTTGCAGTGAGGCTAATGTTGGACAAGAGGGTAGTGACTTTTCAAGGCTGTCCATGATGTGGATTAAAAGATAAGCTCTTTTGAAACTGCCTCCCTGGTGGGCTGCAGGAAGCCCAGGCCTGTGCTCTGCAGCAGGTCAGACCAGAAGATTACAGTGGTCCTTTCTGACCATCAAATCCATTAATCCTGTCTCACTAAGCCTTTCTAAATCAATTTATTAATAAAGAGTTAACATCTTCTCCTGGCATGTCATGACTGACTTGGCTTTCATTTTGGAAAAATTAAGCAAAAAGAGCTCCCAGCTTGATGGAGGTCACTTTGTTAAAAATAAATGAGCTACATCTTGTTACTTGTTACTAATATTATGCCGAAGTGTCTTGGTCAGTGGTTGCCTTTGCAGGAAGGTGAATGAAGGAGGGTGCTATTCCCAGCCATCCAGCTACAGCTGCTGTTTCCCCCCAGCTACAGATCTGGTGCTCCCCCCATGGCAGAGGGGAGAGAAGGGTGGTCTCTGGCTCTGAGGTGCAGCTGGGCTGGGGACTGTCAGATCAGGTGGTGCTGATGAGATGTCTGCAGGCAGAGCTGCTCCCTGACCAGAGCCACCAGGGCAGCCCAGAGGCTGAGAATGAAAACCTGGCCCTGCCTTGCTCTGGTTCACAAGAGGTGCTGCTGCTCTCTGGCTGCTCAGAATGCAGAGTTGGCTTGAGCTGGAGCAGTGGAAGATCCCTTTGGGAAGCCCTGAGGTTTCCACCCTTTTGGCTGTAACTTTTAGCTCAAGCCAGTGGAGTGTTGGAGTGTTCCCAGGTTGTGAGCCCCAGGTCAGCATCCAGTGGGTTCCACGTGTGTGCTTGGTGTGTTGAGGGCACTGCAGTCTCAGTGCAATGGAGAGTGTGTAATTCCATTTAGTCCAAGGGAAGTGCTGTAGGAACTGCTGCTTCTGTCTTCCAGCCTGCTCAGGTGAGTCAGACCAGAGGTGGCAGATGCCTCAGAGAGCCAAGGGCTCATTTTCAACCAGAAGGATTATTTCCATATGCCTCATAGGTGATGAAGTCTCATGTCAGACGTTCTGGTAATTGTACCAACAGCCTGTGTGCTCCCTGGAAAACCAGGGAATCTGCACATGGAGAAAGGTTGGATGCTACAACTTGTAAGAATAGTACAAGTCATTTTCAGCAATGCTGAATCTGCTTGAGGACATGCATTTCCCAGACCTGCAGCCTGGTTCCCTCAGGGAGGGGGAAGGGTCTGATTCCAACCATGCCATAACCCACCCCTTCAACCCCATTTCCTCAAACTGTTTGGGGTTTGGAGTTTATTCCCAAAGTCCATCAGCCAGGAAATGTGCAGCCTGTGCTCGTTGTGAGCCAGGGCACTGTGGGTGCCTCTGCTTTGGGGGTAGTTTTGGCTGTGGTGACCCTTGTGCTGGGTAAGTCACATCTCATCTGTGGGCTCAGTCTGGGGAGCTGTGGTCAGTGGTGCTTTTATGTCAGATGGTTGTGGTTTCCAGGTGCTGGGATCATGCAGCCCCTCCCAGAGGGGAGCTGGGACCCAGGGGCAGGGCTGAGCACCCCCTTCCTGGTACCCCCACAGCGTGGCTGGGGCTGGGCTTGGTTGGAGGCAGGGACAGTGTCAGGGCTGCCAGGGAAAAAGGGCTGAGCTTCCTGTCCCATCCCTGCTGCCACATGGGACCTGGGACAGCTTGGCAGGACCACAGCAAGGACAGGTGTGGCTCAGGGCCACCAGCCCTGACCAGGCCCACCCCAGGTGGATGCCCCCCCCTCCCTGATGACCCCCATCCAGGGGCACCAGCCTGGCCCCTGGGCAGGAGGAGCAGGGAGCCAGGCTAAGGATGCCCAGGGGTTGCTAGAAACAGGAAGAGCACAAACAGAGAAAAATTACAAATTTTAATAAGGAAATTTGTGCAGTGATGGCAGAAAGGCTGAGGTCCTGCCCGAGGGAAGGCTCAGAGGGAGCAGAGCCAGCTGTGCTAGTGCTCTGCCACCTCCAAGCCTAGGATCTTCTTCACATAATTCTGGACATTGATGTGGAGCTGTGGGGCTGTAGCAGAGAAGGTCTCCATGGCCAGAGCCCGGGCTGCCTCCGACCCACCCCACATGGCACGGTAGAGGGGCAGGGTGTACTTCTGTTTCCCCTGCAGAGACACAGCAGGGGTTACACCCCAACCTCCCCAGCTCAGGGAGCCCCAGGAGACCCCCCAAACCCCCTCCCCAGGGGGAGGATAACACCTCCTGCACCTCTCAGCCAGCAGAGTACAGAGGAATGCCACCCTCAACACTGCAGTGCCTGGAGAGGGGACCTTGGAGAAAGAGCAGGCCCATGTTCAATAAAGGCTCAAGTTCAATAAAGTCAAGTGCAGGGTCCTGCACCTGGGTCAGGGCAATCCCCACTACCACTACAGACTGAGGGAACGAGAGATGAACTGGATGTATGGATGGAGAGCTGCTCTGCTGAGGACTTGGGACTACTGGTGGGTGACAAATTGGACATGAGCCAGCCATGTGCTCTGGCAGCCCCAAAAACAACTGTGTCCTGAGCTGCATGCAGCAGGACTAGCAGGTCAGGGAGGGGATTGTCCCCTCTGCTCAGACCCTCCCCTGCAGGGCTGCATCCAGTTCTGGAGCCCCCAACACAAGAAGGACATGGAGCTGTTGGAGAGAGTCTAGAGGTGCCACAGAGATGATCCAAGGGCTGGAGCAGCTCTGCTCTGGAGACAGGCTGAGAGAGTTGGGGTGTTCAGCCTGGAGAGAAGGCTCCAGGGAGCCAGTACTGTGGCCTTTTCATCTATAAAGGGAACTTGTAGAGAAAGCTGGAGAGAGACTTTTTCCAAGGCCTGCAATGCCAGGGCAGGTTCTAAACTGAAGCAGATGGGGTTAGATGGGACAGAAGGAAGAAATGTTGTACACTGAGTGTGGTGAAACACTGGCCAGGTTGCCCAGAGAGTTGCTGCTGCCCAGGGACAAACCTGGCTGTGGAGGAAGTCCTTGACCTTGCTGTACTCTGCCTCCAGGTTGTTCTTGAGGATGATCTGGCACCAGCGGAGTCGCAGCTCAGCATTCTGGGACTTGGAGATCTTGGGGTACATCTTGCTCAGCCTCTCCACGTTGCCTGTGAGAGGAATTGTCACGACCACCACAGGGGCTCTGCTTCTAGCTTCCAGCCCCTGCTCTGAGGGGACCCTGTGTTGCCAGTCCTCTGGGATCCTTGGGCCAGCCCTGGCCCCTCTTCAAGGCTCCCAGCGCCCCCAGCTGTGTGAGATCCCAGGCACTCGCTGGGCCTCCTGGGGCCAGGCAGCCCTGCCTGGTGCTGGGGACACCAGCACAAAGGGTGAGGAGGTCCCTCAGCAAGGAGCACAAGGAGAAGGGAACAAGGAGATGACAGCCCAGTTGAGCCATCCTGGGGACATCAGAGCTCCTCTCTGACACTCCCCATAGGGCTAGGGACACCCTTCCCCTGGCTCTCCACTCCCCACCACACTGAGTGAGGCTTCTCAGACACCAGGAACCACACTGCTGGATCACAGCAGGGATGGGATGATGGCCACGGACCCACAGATCTCACTGATGTGTCCTCATGTCCCCAACCAACTGGCTGGACTAGGCCACATCACCCCCTCTCACTCTGGGCACGGGAGCCCTAGGAGGTGACAGGGTCCTCACCTTCTGGCAGGGGGGATTTCTGCAGGATCTGATCCAGGAAGTAGACCAGCTGGTAGGTCCTCCAAGCTGCAATGTCCACGGCTTCAATTGCCTCCATGTTCACACTGTCAGCTGCCCAGAGCTCTGCCAGCTCATCTGCTGGCTTCATCAGCTGCTCCCCTGGTGAGAGGTCGGGCAGGTAGGGGGGCCAGCCCGGTGTGTTCAGCCAGCGGTCGAACTCAAAGCCTGCAGCAGGGAAGGGAGGGAGAGCTGGGATGGGTTTCCTGCAGGACATCCCACTGCCTCCTCTGGGTGTCCTCCAGCACCAGCAAACCCACCCAGGACTGATGATGAGCAGAGACTAATGAGGTGAGACTGTTAAGCCCCCATGGGCACTGCCTGTTGCAAGGCCAGGAGCAGCAGCATCTCCAGGAAAACCCACACACTGACGTGCCCAGGGTCCTGCCCAGGGTCTGCACAGGACACGGGACACGGGGCAGCTCCGATGCCCTGGGGTGCTGGTTTGCAAAGCTGTGCCCCGGTGCACTGCCCAGGAAGGCTCCCTGCTGACCTGGGATGGTGTCCACACCCTTCTCCTTCAGCTCTGGGAAGTATTCCAGGAAGAAACCAAGGGTGTCATCTGCTGTGATGCTCTGGAACTTGAACCGGTTCACGTAGGCCTGTGGGGATGGCCGGGGTGTGAAGCCACTGATGCTCATCCCAGCAATGCTGCCCAGCTCTACCCGTACTTAGCCTCATGGGGGTTGGCACTGCCAAGTCCACACCAGTTCCAACCCCCCGCCCAAGAGACTTGCCACCCCCAGCATCCCCTGGGATACCTTGAGCATTGCCACAACCTGCTGCCAGCACATCATCTCCTTCTCTCTGTGAACATCTCCATT